GGCGCCTGCCGCCTGCGCACCTCCCCGTGCAGCTCCGGCGGCGCTGCCACGGCCACCCCGTCCTGCCGCTCCCCCTCGTCCTCCTCGAGCCGGCACGGCTCCCTGTCCGCCAGACGTGCCGGCTGCGGGTCCTGTCGGCGCCGCCGCCGTGGCGGTGGCAGGTCGCACGGCCGTGGCTCCGGCCGTCGCAGCACCTCGTCCCCGGATCGGTGCACCTCCGCGCCCAAAGACGCCCGGCCTGGATGCAGCGCCAGCTGGCGCGCTTGGCACCGGGATGCCGGATCCTCCGCTAGGCCCGGCCGCGGCACCTCCGGCGGCAGCTGCTGCTGGAGCTCCACCGGATGCGGCTGCCGACGAGGCCCCCGTCGCAGGCGAGCTCTCGCCCTTGAGCTCGGCGATCTCGGCCTGCAGTTTGGCGATGCGGTTGTCGCGCTGCTTGACAATGAGCTGGTTGCGCAGGTTGGCCTCGTTCTTGCCCGCCTCGAAGCGCGCCTTGGCCTGCTCCTCGTACTGCGCCTTGAGCTCGCGCTCCTTGGCGTCGACGGCGTCCTTGATGGCCTGCTGGCGCGCCGCCTCGCGCTCGTCCTCGACAGCCTTGAGGCGCTGCTGCACCTGCTCCTCGACCGCCTCGGCCGATGGCGCGCCGCTGCCCGAGGAGCCCGCAGCGCTGGCCTTGCCTTTGAGAAAGCTTTCCTCGACCGCCGTCTTTTGCTGCATGGCGTACTTTTCAGCCAGCTCCGCCTCTTGAACCCGCAGCTTCTGCCGCAACTCCTGGACCTCGTCGCTCGCATCGGCGGCACCCTCTCCGACGGCTCCGTCGGCGGGAGCAGCGGCGGCTTGGCGCGCCGAGAGCTGCGCCTCGAGCTCCTGGATCCGCTGGTTGGCCGCTTCGAGCGCCTGCTCGAGCTCCGCCACCTTCGCTCTGAGCTGTTCGAGCGCGGCATTCGGCTCCCCGTCGCCCGAGCCGTCCAGCGTGCCCTGCTGTGCCAGCTTCTCGCCGACGGCGCGCTCGATGGCCTCGGCGTGCTGGCTGGCAAACTCCTCCTTGAGCTGCTTGATTGTCTCCTCGTGCTGCTTGACTGTCGCCTCGGCGGCGCGCTGGGAAGAAAAAGAAGATGGAGGATCACGTTCGGAGGCAAGTTCAGCAACGAGCGGCGCTTGTACAGATTCCCGCGGCTACGCTTCGAGGACTCACCTGGTTGCGGAGGAATTCCTTGCCCTTCTGAAGATGGCGATCGCGCAGAAGCTCGGCCTCGGCCTTTTGCTTCTCGAGCACCGCCTTGGCCTCGTCCCACTCTTTCTGCGCTGCCTGGAGGGCCTCGTCGATGGCTTGCTGGCGCTCGACGAGCGATTCACTCGCTGCCGGAGCGGGAGCAGGAGCGGCTGCTGCGCCCGACGCTTCGGTGGGCGAAGCAGCAGCGTCGACGCCTGCATCTTCGGTCTTTGTCAGGCTCGCGGCTGCGGCAGACGCCTCGGCAGTGGTCCGCAGTGCCTCGAGCTCCTGCCTCAGGCTGTCGCGCTCTTCGGTGAGGGCGGCGACGTTGGCCTCGAGCTGCGACAGCGAGGCTGCGACCTCGTCTTTCTCCTTCTGCAGCACGGCGACCTTTTCGGTCCACTCGGCGACGGCCCTCCTCTCGGTCGAGATGCGCGCTCGCGCCTGCTCCCGCAGCTTCTCGAAGTTGTTGGTCGATGTCTGCAGCTTGGCGTGCACCGCCTCGGTCTACGGCGGTATCGAGGACGGGGGCGGGGATCGGCATCGGCTGGTCAGCAATCGGGGTTTGCGTCGTCAAGCATGGTTGGGGGGCGCGGCTCACCTCGGCGACCTGTTCCTGTAGCCTCTTCTCGATCTCCTCGACCTTCCTCTGCGCCTCGGCCTTCTGCTCCTCGACCTTCTTCATCTCGTCGCCGATGCCATGGGTCTGGAGCAGGCTCTGGGCGCGTGCCTGCCACCTCTTGTTGTCCTCCTGCACGACGTTGAGCTGTGCCTGGCATGACTCAAGCTCGACCTGGGCGTTCATCAGCTGCTCCTTGAGCGGCTGCAGCTCGCCCTTGGAGCTCGAGACCAGCGCTTCGAGCTGGGCGATCCGCTTGGCGCTCTTGTCCGCCTCTTGCTGGAGCGTCGCGTTGGACTCGCGCAGCTGGTTGAGCTCCTGGATTCTCTCGAGCAGCTCGGCGTGCTGGCTCGCGCTAGCGGCGGCCCCGGTGCTGCGCGATCGCTCCTCGGCCAGTTGGCTGCGGGTCTCGTCGAGCGTCTTGTTGGCGTGGTCGAGCGACTGCTTGAGCCTCGCCGTCTCCTGCTTGTTGAGCTCCATCTGCAGGTCGACAATCTCCTTTTCGCGGCGGAGGTATTTGATGACCTCGTGCAGCTCGTCGATGCGGCTCTTGGTCAAGACCGGAGCCGAGGGGGTAGCCTGTTGCGCTGCAGGCTCGGCGGCGGACTGCGCCGCGTCGGGCTCCGAGGTCGCCGCCGCTGCCTCATCCTCCGTGGCGGCAGGTGCCGCAGCATCAGCTGCCCCAGCGTCAGCCGCAGGTGGCTCAATCGGTGCCGCTCCGGAGGCTTCCT